CACACCTACTGGACCAAATATAAAACTTGATAATCAAAATATTTTACCTTCCTCCTTGATATTGTCCCTGTTAATTGTGCAGAGACCCCAAAATCTGCAACCTGTTACAAGGTCATGAACTTAAACTCTAGACACAAATTTATATCAACTCCCATAGAATATGCATGTCTTAGTAGCCAAACTATTTAAATAATTCAAGCCAAGTATGACCCATTTGTGTGAAGGTACTACCTTAACATCACCATTCTCCGTCAACAAAATGTTTGCCGCTGGCAGAGTGGTAGAAAAACGGTTGTTAGTGATCAGAGGTTAGTCAAATCACTTGAGGCAAGTCACAGAGATATTAACATTACATAAAAAAATGAAGAAAGTAATTTTCAAACAGAGCATACAATTATACATGTCTCTTTAAGACTTTGACAGAAAGTTTGAAAGATTTCAGAATCTCTGTCACAATTATACAAGTAGCAAAAGAGGTAAAAGGAACCTTTGATGTCTCTGTGGATTTTCCCTTCAGTATGTAAGTATTCAATTGCATGCAAAAGGTCCTGAGCAATCCAAGCAATTGAAGTTTCATCAAGTGGAAGACCTGATTGCAGCTGCAGATGCAAAATCAATTTTAGGTTTCTAGAAAAGTGAATATTGTGGGGCAATTATAGTCAATCAACAAAGGAAAGCATATGCGCCAATGCATTTGTAAAGTATGCATTCACAAATGCCCACAATACCTCAGCAAATGAGAGAAAGAGACACCAATGGTTATATAAGAAATTGTTAAATAAGAAATTACACTTACAAATGCCTTAACAAACTCAAACTACAATAAGAAAAGAAGATGAAAGCAACTAACAAAGTTGTACTATGAAAATGCCTTGCCAAAGAATGAAAGCACTGAAAAGAAATTGTCATACAGGAAAACAGAATGATCAACACCAAAGAAAGAGTTTGCATTTGAGAGATAAGTTTTATACTATTTTTTTTTAACTAATCTTAAAATCCTTGAAAACAAACTTCAAAGCTAAAAACTCAATATGTAGAAGCAAGCAATAGAAGTGACCTACTAGGTCAGCAACTGAGCCACCAGCCATATACTCCATTATTATCCATAGTTTAGTCTGGTTGATATAGGAACCATAGTACTCAGTTATATATGGAGAATGGCATTGGGACAAAACAGCAATTTCCTGGCACAGAATGAAACAAATGAGGAACATGATCATTTCTTATCTTGGACTAATAAGTGCTCAGAAATATGAATGATCTGAGAGGTCATACCTTCTGGATGTCATCAATTTCATCCTCACTGCAGAATTCAGAATAAAATCAACCATAAGAAACATGGATAACAATAGTCACAAAAACACAAGTACATTAGATATAATATCCACTTACGATTCCTCTAAATCAATGACCTTAATAGCAACTTCTTTGTTTATCTCCTTATCAAATCTGCATATCAGCTAGGACATTAGGCTTAAGCACCCCAGGCAATTAAGTACAGTACCAAATATCCTCCAAAAAAGTGAACATTTTTAATTGAAGAGGTTAGTTTCCCACAAACTGCCCATTTCAGAAATTTTATGTTAATCGGGCTGAGTTAACTCAAGAAACAGAGAATAAATGCCAATTCCTTGCCACAACGGCAAATGATAAAAGGATTCCAGTCTGAGATGAAGGGAACTTATATCCTACATCCAATAGATTAGCCTTACAAATTTTATCTCCACTGCTTATACATTTTTATCCTTTCCAATCTTTATGTTTGAGGTATGGCACTTCTTAAGAAATAGATGAATATATTTTCTTCTGTCACAAGTATATTTGTCGTTTTTCCTCTAAAACATAAAGTGTGGGATATGCAAATATGGCCAATGATCATTTGCAGTAAATTTGATTAAGGATCCATGCACAGAAAGCAAGCAGCTATATGGTAAAATGGAATCATTTGTTAAAAATTTAACAAATCCCATGTGGAATATCACATATTACAAATTAAGAAGTAAATTCTTTTTCTGATGAGAGGCAAATAAATAATTGGTTACTTTACACTAGCACTAGTCCAATTGTCCAAGTACGTGGATCATAGAACAGTAAAATAAAAGACCAATCACAAGAAAAACTCGGAGGTTCCAGAAAAAGGAAAAAAAAAAAAAAAAGGAAGAAAAAAGAAGAGAAGAAAGAAAGAAAGAAAAATGGAGTACCCAAAGTTCAAGGTTAGTAGACAATTTAACCATCCCCAACCATCTCCATAAAGATTAAAGAAGCCATCTCAAAATCTAGTTTCTCAGAAGCACTCCAATATTTGCATCCTGTTACCACTTAACTCTAATCAGACATTTCAATTAACACCTCATCCAAGCAACTAGCTAGCTAGATAGACTAACTTGACATATTTACAACCCAATAACTAGTATAAATGTACAATACAATTGAGTAAGTAATTCTTTAGATCCACTAATCCAACAACATTCAAGAAATCCAAGAACCTAGTCTAGAGATACAAACTCATTTTTAAGTTCTCAATCTACAGGCACAAATTAAAATTAACAGAAAGCATGTGATAACTTCAGAATATGTCCACCAGTTCAAGCATTCATGAATTGAGCCATCTGCTCGTGAAATGACAAACGTAATCAAATTACCCAAGACTTGAATTATAATGTCAATACCTCTAGCGAGCTCCCACAATTGTACATCCAAGAATTAAATTATTACAATTATCCAAAGGTTTGTCCATGAGCTTGAATTGCATTTAGCAGTTAGCATTTCTTCATATCCTAAATTTTAAATAAACCCTATTTCTCTAAGCCCCAACCCCCACCCCCACCCCAAACACACATTACATTTAAGGGAGAGGGAAATGAGGAAAATAGAATGAAGTTATCAAACATGTTCTGGTTTTAACCTTTAAATAGGCATTATTTCCTCAAGCTACAGCACTGAAAGTTTCCCAAATTTCACATAGCTGCAAATTTACAAAGTTTGTAACATACTTCAGACATGTTTAAATATTAACACTATCACATTACTCAAAACAGAAGCCCTATTGTTAAAGTCAATAAAAACTGTTACTTTTCCGATTCCAATCCAACCATCCCTACTATTACATTTTTTCTTAGTTGCTCTATTTATTCCATAAATTCTGACCATGATAACCATCTAGTTTCATGTCACAACTATTATAAATATAAAGTTTAATCAGAAGGGTAAAGTAAAGAAAAGAAAAAATCATTGAAAAATGGGTTAACAATCAATTTGGCAACAACAAAAGGATTAATAGTTACTAGTAATCCCTGCTGATCTGACTAACGTGCATACCCGTGTGGATAAAACTAATGAACAGGCAATCAAGCAAAATTTGATATACCAAATCAAAATATACTTACGCTTTATGCACATCTCCAAGGGATCCTCTCCCAATCAACTCAAACTGACTAAATCTAGACCCTGCTGCCTCTTGCAAACCTGCTATATCAGCCATTTCTATAGAAAAAAATAATAATAATCATAAGCGTAAAATTGGACATGGAGATCAAATGCAACAAAATTCTTGAAACCGTACCACAAATTCGAGCCTAAAGCTTCCAAATTTCCTCCATTTTTCAACAGCCACTTTCCAAATTAGCTATAAGGGTATCTATAAATCCCAGAATCAGCCTTAAAACATTCCCGAACAGCATTGCCACAACTTACAAACTCCTCCTGAAAAAACCCACATTTCCAGGATCTATAAAGAACGTTAAAAACACAAAACCCAAAAATATTATTGCAAATGTGAATCACAATGCACATGGCTCTTACACTCGAAGCAAAACATGTCACAAAAAATATATACATTTTTCCATCTCCGTTAGGAGGAGAGTCGTGAGAGCAATATGTTGAAGTGACAGCGGAACAAAACTCCAAAAAGAACACTTTTTGACAACTGCCCACAAATAGTTTCGCCCCAGTGATGGCGAAATGCTCACACAGGCGTGACTTAGACTTGGGTTTTGGGTTTAATTATAAAATTCAAATGTTGATATCTCCCAATAGAGATTGATTTCTCTGTACCTGTTGGAGTCGCAGATCCTTGTGATTTGATTAGACTAGTCTTGTCCAGTGTTTGTCGTTCTCCATGCTTCTCCTCCTTCCTGCTTCTTGGTGGGAGAGGGAAACGGGGTAAACGGGGAATTCCAAGAGCTTCCAAAGGGATCGAAAGTGTCAAATTTGCCCTGTTATGAAATTTTTATTTTTATTTTTCTTTTCTCTTTTAATTTTTAGTTGTGGGGTGTGAATGTGTAATTTGCTAGTTATTAGAAAGCATGCTTAACTCCTGAATTTACTTTCTTTGTAATTTTTGGTCCTCAAACCTACAAATTTATTTTTCTTTTTTTTATCTTTTTAAAATTTTGAATTAATAGTATAATTGTTTGCTGGAATAATCCAAGGAAAGCCTCTCAATTAATTTTCTTTATAATTTTTAGTCCTTAACTTACTCTCAAACGGAGGAAGTTCTGTAAAATAAATAATCAAAACTTTAAATTAAAAAAAAAAAAAAAACATTTTCTCACTCTTTATGGTTAGGGTTTGAACCCTTTTTTTATTCCTCACAAGGATTTCAAGTAGTTAGTCTATCCCATTAAAAGAAACAACTTACTTTCCAGTGATTAAAACAGACTCTTTTTATGTGGTTACATGGAATTAAGCTTAATGACAAAAGTATTTATTTACCTTGATTGCTATGTCAAATTCAACAAATCACTCAATGTAAATGATAATTCATGAACTTATATATTCCTTACAAGATTCTTGATATTATTCTTTAATAAGTTGTTTAGTGATAATTTTTTATTAGAAAGAGTAAACAATTTAAAGTTTAAATTACATAACAATTCAGTCAATTAAAAGAGGTGTTGTCTTCTCCTATGCAATCCAAAATCAAAGTTAAGGATCTTAAAATAATTTAGACGAATTTGAGATATATTTTTTCAAAATTTTTAATTAGAAGGATCAATCTTGAATATCTTTCCTTAATCAAAGATCAATTTTCCATTCTTTGGATATCACACTCGATAAGAAGCTTAATTCCTACAAGACGTACGCAAAATTCCATTTTTATAATCAGATTTTCTTGTATAAAGATTTTCTAAATCAAGCATTTAAAACTAACATAAAGTTCTAGAACTTGATTTTAAGTTCCAAAACATTGTTTCTTTCTAATCATTCTCACGAATGCAATGATATCAAGAAGTTTCAAAATATATCAAAAAGGTTCCAAAACCTTCAACAAAATCCTGAAATAAAAGGAGAACAAGGACTTTTCATTTTAGACTACAATGACTAGTTTGACTTCGTTTTAAACATGAGAAGTATATAAAGGAACTTTGATAAAGTAGCAAAAACATAGAAAAACCCCAGTCCTTATTTGTGAGAACATGGGCTTCCAAGGGCAAATGGGCAAGTCTTTGGACACAAAGTTTTATTTTTGGTTCCCGTCCGGTATCTGGGGTTTCGCCTCAACTAATCCGGATCGACCCGCGTCACGCACCTAGAAATGGTGGGTGAGTCTCCCAACGGAGGCTGCTGCATTCACAAGATCTCGAACTCGAGATCTTATTTAAGCTGGAACAAACCGCTTACCACTTGATCCAACCCCTCGTTGGTGGACACAAAGTTTTATGATATAGAATCTTTGATTAGATATTAGACTTTATTTGAGAGCGGTGCTTTAACTTTTGATTTTTTTATAATTAAAAAAATAAAAAAACTATTAATAAATTTAAATATATTTTATATATTTTAATTTTTAAGATATTAAAAGACTAAAATAGTTAGTCTAGCATTCTCAAACATAGCCTAAAACGGGTTGACAACCATTTCAATTTTAAAAACACTTGCACTATTTTTTAATTTTTAGGTATATAATATTTTCCGAATTAATACAAAAAATAATATACCCTCTTAATTTCTTCTTGAGCTTGTTCTATTTTGTGTGGTTTGGACTTTGGAAGATGCCCAAATGTCCAAGCCTAAGCAAGGCATTGAATCTTAATGTATTGGATACTGGTGGGTTATATAGACCAGAATCCATAAAGAGGGCCCAAAACCAAAAAATTCAGTTGGGATTGAGGTCTAGAGCTCTAAACCGGAAACCATTTACATTGCCCTATATTCCAAATTAAAACAAAATGAAAATAATATCCTCCCAATTTCTTCTAGAACTTGTTCTGTTTTTTGTAGTTTGGAAGATTGCTTTGAAGTCTATAGCTAATTCAAGATCTTATCATACTTGTGGATATATAAACCTTTGGATATGACCAGAATTCCGATAGGGGGCCCAAAACCAGAAATTAATTTGAGTACAAGGTCTATAACCCTTTTCTTTTCTCAAATTTTTTTATTTATACAATACATAATCCCATGTGCGAAGAAGGTGCAAGTAAACTACATCCTCAAGAGGTAGTACCTAGTTTAGTTTGGTAAAAGAGTTTGTATTAATTAGAGCTCAACTTTTTGGGGGGAGACTACTTATAATAATTTGCTTTCATCGTATAGAAGAAGTAGAGTTAATCAGGCAAAAATCTAGTTTTAACCTTTTACCTTATTAGATTTGTAGGTTTTAGTTCTTTATCTTATATTATAACATTTTTAGCCCATCACTTATTAAAATTAAAGAAAATAACCCTCATTTAGAATATTTTGTTAGTTCTGTTAACTAACTGTTAACTCTATTAGTTGACTATTAATTGACTATTCGCTAGCCAAACTTATTTTCAGCTAATAGAGTTAACAGTTAGTTAATATAACTATTATATTAGCTGACTGCTAACTCTATTAGTTAATTGTTAGCTGACTATTAGATGGTAAAAACTTATTTTCAGCTAATAAAATTAACAATCAGTTAATAAAACTAACGAAATATTATAAAGTGAGGGTTATTTTCTTCAATTCTAATAGGTGAGGGGGTTAAAAGTATTATAATATAAGATGAGGGGTTAAAATTTACAAATCCAATAAAGTAAAAGACTAAAAGTAAGTTTTTGCCTAAACTAGTGTACTTAAATTGACCACCTATACTACCTGATGGATATCGTTTAGGAGACATTTAGTATAGTGGGGAGACATTCAATAGCTCATCATATGTTTTGATATTATTTTGAAATTAAAAGTCCATTAATTTTATAAGTTTTGATATATTTAAACCACTCTTTCTTTTTATATTTCTTCTATATGAAACTCTTGTTTTTACCATAACTCACAAGGGAACCTACTTCAATAGATATATACACATAATTAGATTAGATAAAGTTCTTTCATAATTACATTAAGGATTTGATATTGAATCTTGAATTCACCAAAGAAGAGGGAATCGTTGAGATAATAAAAGGAGAGGGTTATTCCAATTATATAACAAATGAATACGACAAAAGAGAGAGAAAGAGAGAAAATGAAAATCATGCATTACAAGAAATGTACACATGTGAATGACTAAGCGGTTACAATGACAAGGACAAGGAGTGGTGGGCAGCAAAGAATATTACCTACATTTGTTGATTGCTTTGCCTGGAAAGATACTCCTATATGTGTAGAGAAATCTGCAAGATACTTAGGCAAAAGTTCAAAAGAATGACAAAATCAAAGAGAAAAAATGGACAAGGTACATGGTCATCTTAATCTAAATCCAATAAAAGAAGAAAAGGTCCTAAATGGCAGACCAATCCCAAGAAATCAGTGTGAAAAGCATCCTCTTATGTGTTCTTTTATGGACATGTAAATATCCTAAGAATTTCCATTTCATTATTACACCAGTCCACCTTCACTTCACTTTGCCCATTTCTGTCAATCCAATTTATCCAAAGTCTATCCTTCTTTAATTTGACGGTCCAATATTATCCCCCACCTCCTTCCATACTTTCTTCAAGTTTCAAATTTTTAGAAGAATGCTTAAAGATTTGTTATGAATTCTGTACAAAAACTTTAAAGACTGCATTTGTTGATAAAAAAGCATTGTGTTGTTACCTTGATTCGAAATTAAAATTTTGAGATTAGCACCTAAGAAAAAATTAATTTGAAATGCATGAAGTTTATTCTAAGAATACCCCAGTTTCGTCCAAACAAAAAAAAATTTTTTTTTTTTTGCCGACAAAAATAAAATGGAAGAACTTATAAATAGGCTTAAAATACTTTAATCAAACCAAAAAAACAAAATGTTTTGAAATATTTAAAACAAAAGTTTCCACTTTTGAGATAAAATCCACATGTAGCCTATCAAAGAAAAGTGAAATACCCATTTGTTTCAAATTTTCTGATGAAATTCTGATAAGATGTCTATCTGGATGAGGAATATCTGACTTGAGTTGCATTCGTGATTGCTAATGTAATACCATGGTGTAGCTTTCCAGCTGAGTATTTTTCTACTGTATTGTAGCAAAAACTATTTTAATATTTGATATGTTTTACAAAATAATATTGTATAGATACAACTATTAAAAGAGTTAGGAAGCATTTTCTTTATCCAAAAATTCATGTTTTACAGTCTAATACAGTCTAAACTGTAAGATAGTTTTTTGTTATTTACATACAAAAATGTTATAGTTATAATATGATGTAATATTATAAATTTATAATATGATATATAATTATATAATTAACTCTTCTTATTTTTGCATCCACTTATAAAATGCTACATCATATTCATTTAATATCATTTCATGATGGTAAATTTACAATCTTATATGATATTATAATTATAACATTACCAATAAAAATACACTTATAAAATATTAATTGAAATTAACTTATTTATGATAAAATTAAAATTTTTAGTAGTGTGTCGTGAGCATAAGGATTGTGAAAAGCAATAATTTCCAAACGAAACCTATAAGGGCTTTGCCTGTGATCATAAATTGATTATTGTGCCAACAATCTGTTTTTTTGTTTTTTGAAGAAAATTAGTACCAACAATTAAAATATAGCATTCAATGATAAATTCTTTTTACATTATAAATTTAACTTACGTGACATGTGAATAAAATAAATTAAAAATAAAAAGAGTTATTTCTCATGATACAATTCCAAATAAAAA